GGTAGCTGTTATATAAGATCATTTTTATATAAGAGACATGATTCATTAAATAAAAATTAGGTCCATTTTTGACTATGAGCTGAGCAACATGCGGAAAAATGTATTTAGTTTTACATCACAATAATCAATCATAACCTTTAATGTAATTATTACTATACGATTAATCAATTGTTTTGATAATTTAAAATAATAATTATGAATAAATTAAAGAAAGTGAGTCAGTTCATCATAAACGCGTGCCCAACATAATTTAGTGGCATTATAACTAGGTCCAAAGAAAGCTGTATTATATAATTGGGAAGATTCATGTACCTAGTTTTATGTACTTAAAATATATTTGTATCATATCAAATTAAAATAAGTGAATTTTATTATGTTAATAATATTAGTAGCAAGAGTTTATTATAGAATAAAAATCTATATGATTTAATTAAAAACAAGCACTATAAATATATAAGATTAAGTGTATAAATTTTTTCTTATATAACCTATCTCGGGCTTGATAACGAATTTAAAATTGAATCTTATTGTACTTAGTATATAAATTTTTTCTTGCATAACCTATCTCGGGCTTGGTAAAGAATTTAAAATTGAGTCTTATTGTACTATTCACAATAACTTCAACTAGTTTTTTTAGAAGGCTCATGAATTTAATTGGAAATAAGTATTTTAAATCACATGCTTTGAAAATCATCATCTTCTTTTCGGTACAAAGTGGGCTGTGTTTGATTTTTTTTTTTTTCAAAAACAAGGGAAAGCTCAAACCTCTATTTAACTAACAATAGTCCCAAGGTCATTATGACCCATGTTATCTCGATATAATACTACAAAACAGACTTTTTACTTCACATTTTTAGGCCTTTTTACATCACAACTGGAGAAGATATCATATTGGGCAACTTAGAATAATGGCTTATCTACATCACAAGTGATGTGACGTGGAAAAAGATAATCCACATCCCCTTTAATAACAAGGGTTGTGGTTTTTACAAAACTCACGTCCCCATTAACCAAAATGGGGATGTATCCCCTTTCTAGGTTGTGGACGTGGTTTATAGAGAAACTATGTCACCATCTAGTTAGAGGGACGTGGTTTCTCATCAACCATATACTAGGATGAGAAACCACATCCCCCACTACTAATAGGGGACATGGTTTCTCATTTCCCAGTTTAAGAAACCATGTTTCATAGTAATAGGGATGTGGACATGGTTTCTTAAGAAACCACATCGCTATATAATAATGGTGATGTGGTTTGCCAGCCACTTTCACAATCCAAGTCCCCCTTTAACAGTAAGGGGATGTGGTTTTTAATTTTGTTATACAATTTGCATTTACTTTACAACTAAAATAGGACAAACTGCATCTTCCTCAAGCTGTGAAAGGAATTGGAGTGCCTTTGAAAGAATAAACTTCAAGAAAAGGAATAAGTTGGAGCATGAAAGATTGAATGATCTTGTCTATATTCATTACAATTTTCGATTAAGGAATAGGTAAATTATTCAAAATTTTGCTTTCATTTGTAGTTATAAAAAATAAGTTACATGAATCCTTAAGCTTTGTTACTATCATGTGTTTTTATTAGAGTTGCTAACAAGAAGAGAACTTTGGACCCTGTTGATTATAAAAGTATTGATAAGATTGAATATTAGGAAATGGAAGAAGATGATTGTTCTTTACTCAATATTGATGAGATAGAACAGGATCTCATTTATGATGACACAGTGCTACCAAAAGCTATCATTCATCAAGAGGATGAGCAAGGTTTAGTGTTCTTTACTCAATGTTTTCACTTTTTTTATCACTTATCATGTGATTCTCATTAATTTGATTATATACATTAAATGTTTGTTTGTGAAGATAATGAGCAAAGAGGTAACGTGGCAAATGGTGAAACCATTGGTGGACTTGGTTTACAATTATTTTCTTGAGAGGATGTTGATAGCTTTAGTAAAGATGTTGATGCTTTTGAGCCTGCACATGCTTGGATTAACCAAGATCTCCCAATATTTGATAAGCCAAGAAAATTTAAACTTATGATGTTGTGAACTTTGCAATGATATGTTTGAGACATATATTTTGGATTTGTGGTATCTTTGTTTGAAAATTTGATCAATTAGAACATGTTTGAGACATATATTTTGGATATATGATGTATTGTTTGAGATTTTGAGCAATTAAAACATGTTATATAATGTGGATTTGTGGTGTTGCTGGATATATTATTGTTTTTTTGTTAAATTAATGTTTTGTTTATATATATAGATATATATATATATATATGCATATAAATATTATTTTTTATTTAATTTTTATGTCACTGAATCGTGAGAATCATGACTCACTGCTCTTTCCAATTCGAAGTCCGATCTGGGTTTCAAAATATTGGTTCATTAGATAACCAAATTCTAAAGCCTCACAAAACTAATATTATTAAAATAAATAATAACGTAACTTACCATGTGTAAATTTTTATTAGTTTTGAATTGAATAATCTCATACATATAATGGATAATATAATATCCACACTCTATACTCCCTATCTGGCGATGGCACTAAAAATTAAAAATTGAATGATAAATATAAACAAAAATATATATGAAAAAGTTGTGATTAAAAAGTATTGAATTGAAATTACTTACCTTTGAAAAATTCTAAGTCAGCAAGGGATTTTTTTGAGATACATTTTTTGCTGGGCAGCACTTTCCCCCAGTTATACAATATATCTTCAACGCCTTACCATGAAATTTAAATAAAGCATAAAGTATTATAATAAAATAAATATCTAATATTTATAAAAAGAATCTTAATTTACGTGTTGAATATATTTTTGGTTTCAGCACTCAGTTACTTGCCCATGGAACAAAATCAATGGATCTTGTGCAAATACAGGCATACAACACAAAAGGACCAATGGTAACTACAAAGAGACAAATGAAATTAGTACATAAAAGCATAAAAAAATATTATCAAACTAAAATAAATGAATATAAAAGAACTTGCCCTTCAAAAATTGGGGCCAGATAACATGGCAATCTTGTTTATGAAATAGTATTGCCCACATATCTCATCCTATCACTGATATCATTGTGAATCGACGATAAAGAAACTGGACACAAAAATCCAAATTGATCTTTTCATGGTCCAGTGCAGAGATTACTAAGAAACTTATTAATAGAAGGATATAAAAATTATTGCATATAAATTAAAATAAATGAAAATGAGATAGAATATAGATAATAAAATTACAAGATAGATAACATACACCATGAGATATCCAACTCCTTCATCAACAAGAATTTTGTCATGACTTGTCTATACCCACAATTATTCCTTTAAGCATTAATAAATTGACAAATTTTGTTATTGCCTTAAAAAATTCATTTAATTGTAGCAGAGCAAAGTAGTTCTCAGTATCATCAAAATACTAATGAAACATGAAATGAACAAAAGTTATATAAGTAATCAAAAGATCAAATCAAAAAATAATGAAGAATCTTTTTACCATTGGAATTGTCATCTCTGTGTCAACAAGTCTTTCAGGCCATAAAATGAATTGTCCTAATGCTTTACCTAATTTTCTAACCTCATTAGTAGGGAATGACACATTCGTGTTTGGCTCAAGAATAATCTCAACCGTCCCCTTTACTTGATCGTTCAAAATATTCATGTTATGGATTATTTTTGTGAACATATATAGCTGTGCCAAACCAACAATCCTCTTCCAAGGATGATCCAAATAAAGAAAACAAACTTGTTCTTGCTCTAATAAGGGACTAGAGGCATGTAGTGCCATCTTTGGTGGATTACAACTATCTTTGGTGCTTTGAAGTATGGGAGAAGTCTAGAGGAATAAGTAAATACAATGAAAGAAAATTAAAAAAAATAGACAAAACTAATATTAAAGTAATTAAAAGTAATGAAAACCTAGGGTTCGTGCTGCTTAGTTCTCTGCCTATTATCCTGTGCGGTTCCCATATTGGTGACCATGGATCTAACCTCTTAAAGAATCTTCTCATGGAGCAACAAATTATCTTGCTCATACTTTCAAGCACATTCATCTCTAACCTTTACCAGAAGGTCATCAAGCTTAGCTCTTGATACAAATCTTGACAAGCCTCGTGGAATTGGTCCAAAACACTCCTTTAGACTAACTCCTTTTCCTATACCCCTAACACGACTAGAATAATCTGGCATTCTAATTTCTGATGCCAAGATATCTATTCTTTCAATGGATTGAAATGAACCTTAGGAAGCTTGTTCCTCAAGTGAATCCTGCAATATACAATTAATGAATTTATCTTAAGAGATACAAGATATAAAATTTAATTTAATCCATTCAGTATAATTACTTACAATCTGTTGAGCAATTTCAGCAACCTCCAGAGTAATATATTAGCCTTTCTTGATTCTGGCCTTTTTCCATTTCCTTTGATGAGTTGGAGGAGCTGGGGGATGATCAGCAATACCAGGGTCAAATCTTGCAGCTTCCTCTAATTGCTTCAAATCAACTTCCCTAAGTTTCTGGTCCAGCTTCTTATATCCCCTCAAGACAAGTAATGCTGATATATATTTTTAAACTGTCTCTATTTACAGAACTTAATTCCTATAATGAAATAAAAACAAAGTAAGTCAAATGTAAACTAAACAAAAATAATCTAAGTTAGTTATTAATTATATCAAAATTTCCCTAAAATTTTAGATTATCTCGTGACCTCACAAATTCTCTCTAAATGTCTTCATTAATGAAATTATATTCCAAACATAGATTGTTGTTCTTCTTTGCTCCTCGAATGTATTCTCTAGAAAGTGATTACTTGAATTCTTTCCACCTATCACATACTTGCTAAAGCTAATATCTCTTCATCTTATCAATAGGAGTGATATCATAAGTAAGCTACAATGTGTCATAATTATGAAATAAGATGATAGTATCTAATATAATTAAAACAATAGAAAAAATAGAAAAAATATACATGCCAAAATATCACTCCAAATCATGTCCTTCTTAGCTTCTGGTACTTCTTGTCAATTACGATACAAGATGCCAACTTTACTCCAAGTTATGAGACCTATGTAAGTTACAAACTTGTCCACTTTTGGACCAAGTAGTCTTTTACAACCACCAAACTCTAAATGAACTCTCTCTATAGTGCCTTAACATAGTGTTTACTCCTTCAATTTTGTACTTCCTTTACCTCTTTTCTTGTAAGTTGCGCTGGACGTGTCAACTACATCTTCACTAAAACCCTCCATGTGTCTGTGAAGATCAAAAAATAATACAAGTAAGTCACATAAGTTATAATTAAATATATAGAAATAAATAAATGAAATAAATATATGAATATAAAGAATCAATTACTTCAATGTTTCACTAATTAATTCTTACTATATTCATTCTCCCAAATTCCTTCATAATGATCATCTCTAACTGCATATTCGTCATTAACCAAATCTATGTCAGTTGATCCAGGTAGATTTATAGTAAAAGGTGAGGTTTTATCAAGGTTAAAAGTTGAGTCAACATCCTCCACATCAATAATTTATTTTTTTCCTTACGGTACAATAGAATGCTATTTATTCATTGGATAAGTGATGTAAAAAACTTGTTTTACCTGACTTGCTAAAATAAAGAACTCTTCTTTAAAACCAAGCCTCTTGAAATCAACTGAAATAAATCCAAATTTCTTATCTACTTCAATAGCATTAAAGTGAACCCACTTGCATTTGAAAATAGGTGCTTTGAATTTAGTGTAGTTCACCTCTCATATCTCATCAACCACTCCATAATAGTTCATGTGAGCTAATAATAGGTTATTACCTTTTGAATTGAAAAAATGTTAAGCTTCAGCTTCTACCATTACCCTACTATTTTGCATGGTACTTTTATCATCTTGGGCTTTTGTATAGAAAGAATATCCATTTATATCATACCCACCCTAACACATGACCTCAAAACAAGGTCTCTCAGTTAACCATATTATTATATCAGACATACCAGTATCATTCATAAAATTTTCATTGAACCATCATTTGAAAGTCTTGTTATGGTCATTAGCCAGCTACATTTCATTCTTTCTAAGGTATTTGTCTTTCAACAACTTTTTATGAGCATCCAAATAAGGTTGAACTTCTTCCATGTTATTCAAGATGTACACTTCACTCTAACCCCCCGTGTTCCCTTACCAGCAATTCTTATCCCCTCATGTCAAGTTTAAGGGACTCCAACAGCCTTCAATCCTTTTAGATATGTAGTATAAAATTCAATAGCCTTTTTCACCATATATCGTTCAATAATAGATGTTTTCAGCCTATATGGATTCTTAAAATCCCTTTTAAGATTTTCATGTATCACTCGAATGGGTATATCCATCTTAGATAAATAGAACTACAAAGTCTTACTTCCCTAACCAAGTGAATTATCAAATGTACCATGATGTCAAAAATACTGGAACAAAGTGCATTTCTAATTGGCATAAAATAACATAACCCTCATTTTCTAATTCATCTAACTTGTCAGGATCTATGACTTTGCTGCATATAGCATTGAAGAACATACACAATCTAGTTATGGTACATCTCACATCATCTTTCATAATCCCTCAAATAGCCACTGGTAATAGTTGCTGCATCAACACATGGCAATCATGAGACTTCATGCCTGGTAACTTCAAATCATTCATTGAAACAAGTCTTTTAACATTAGAAGAATACCATTATGGCACCTTAATATCATGCAAACATCCACATAAACTTCTTTTCTCCTCTTTAGATAATGTATGTGCCGTTGGGGGTAAATAAGCTTTCTTCCCTCTTTTTGTTGTGCATGTAAGCATTTTCTTATTCCCATTTCAACTAAATTTAGTCTGGCATTTATTCCTTCCTTAATCTTGCCACTTATGTGCAAAAGTGTACGAATAAGACTATCACACACATTTTTCTCTACATGTATCACATCAAGACTATGCCTTATGTTTAGACTCTACCAATATGGAAGATAAAAAAATGGACCTCTTTTTCTATACAATCTTCTCACTTGCATTCCTTTTATTCTTACAAAAAATGGCTGTGATTACCTCTTTAGAGCCATTTCATATTCTTGAAAGCCATTAAAAGCCTTCTTCAATCTATGATAAGGGTAATACCAATCAAAAAATCTTTGATAACCAAGGTAGACTATTTTTCTTCCATGCTTAAGTTGGTAGGAGTGTGTGCCTTCTTCACATATAGGACATGCATTATGGCTTTTAACACTATATCCTAGCAAGTTTTCATATGTAGGAAAGTTGTTTATTATCATAAAAATCATGGCACGCACCTTGAAGTGCTCTTGCTTATAAGCATCAAATATATCTACACCTTTCTCCCATAGCATTCAAGTCCTCAATCAAAGGTGCCAAGTAGATATCAATATTGTTTTTTGGCTATTTTAGTCCTGAAATCATCGAAGACAACATTATATACTTATACTTCATACACAACTAAGGAGGTAGGTTGTAAATAACTAATAAAGCTGGCCATGCATTATGTGTGCTACTAAGATTGCCATATGGGTTGATTCCATCAGTACGAAGTCTAAACTAAAGGTTTCTCGGATCGTTGCCAAAATGAGGAAACATGTGATCTATTGTCTTCCATTTAGGTGTTAAGGTTTCCCGTTAGATATTTTCTCATCAAAATGCCATCTCAAATTCTTTACTTCCATGGGATTAGCAAACAAGCATTAAAATCGTGGTATTATTGGAAGATACCACATCACCTTCATAAGAGGCCTTTAGTTATGATCTCATCATCATGATCAATATCATCATCCTTCTTCACTTTGTATCACAAAGTCCCACATTTCAAATACTTGTGTAGCCCTTCATACTCATTTCTATATAGTATGCAATATTAGGACGAGCATGAATCCTTTTATAATCTATACCCATTGGACACAAGATTTTCTTTGCTTCATACATACATTTTGGAAGCAAATTATGGGATGGAAGCATTTTACTCAAGAATTCAAGTAACTCTATAAAACTCAAATCAGTCCACCCACTTCTAGACTTTAAGTTAACCAATCCCAACACAGCTGTCAAGAGCATAAAATTAGTATACCCTAGGCATAAAGGTTTCTCTACATCACTACGCAAGTTGTCATATACATAAGATTATGCAAATGACATCAGCTTAACATTACGAATCATATCCTCTATTCTATCATCCCAATCATTCACAATTGTCTCATTTTGGGACATAGAAGTTGTTCCTGCTACCTCCCTAGGCCATATCCATCTTATATACCTCAAATTTATCCCATCACAAATTAAATGCTCTTTTGTTTCATCAATACCCAATTCAATCTTATTCATGTAGTTGACACAAGGACAACAATACTTTTCATTTTTGTTAGGAACATTTTTTCTAGCAAATTCAAGAAATTGATCCAGACCATTTTCATACTTCTCAGTCATTCTACTTGCATTTATCCAACTATGATCCTTTCTATTTTAACCTAACAAATTATCACAGTCTATCAAATTAACAATTCACTACCTTACTTGTGCTTCAATTAGACTCATTTTTATAAAAAAATAAAAACCAGTAGAGTTTCCCCTTAAAAATCAAACATCCTAAAATTACAATAATTATGAACCAATAGATACAACAAGCAATTAAATAAATATTTCCTACTAAACTAATTCTCAAACTTAATTCTCAAATTAAATTCAATGCAAACAAGACCTAACCATTATTACAAATTCTCAGGTGCAATATTATCTAAATTTTTGTTAAACTATCTAATTAAATTAGAGCAAATAAATTAATTAAGTGGAGAGTGAAAAAAAAGGACATAATGTAGGACAATAAATTATAAATTAATCAGAGAAAATAAATTGGGCATAACTAATGGCGAATCTAAGACCTGTACCTAGCGAGGCCAAGTTTGTTTTTTCCCCTCTAAGAATGGTTATGCTTATATAACCATGTGAAGTTATATACAAAGATATTAAAATTATATAAACATTAATTTATTTGTATAACTATTCAAATTATTTGTAAGAATATATTATAAAATTGAATAAATTGTATACTTTTTTTATTTTGATGAAAAATTCTATAAATTAATATTATAAAAAATTTGATTTATAAGCCTTAAATGATTATTATTACTTATTTAATGTTGAGAAAATCTTATGAATTTGCTTGAAGTTTAAAATAAGTATGTATCTTATATTTTATATTGATCTTGATATTATTTTTCTTTTATCAAGTTATTTTATTTTGTATTCAAATTCAAAATATAAAAAAATTTATAAACCATGCATTGATCATAAATCATGTTTAATTCATTGGAAATATATAATATAACATTGTTAGGCAATTTTTTTTTTACTTGAATGTCACATGCCTAAAACCATATCTTAATAAAAAACATATCCTCAAATAAAAATAACATATATTGACACACACAAGAACAATATAGGCTTCTTTAATTTCCCTTAAAAAATAAAATAGCAATAACATTGTTTCATATTTTTATTTTGTTTATGATGATACAGCATAATATGTTTATTTTTTGGATTTCTAACCTAATCAAACAATAGTATCCTAACCCAATCTCAACACCTCACACACTTTGCCACTCTATCTGTTCCTTAGATTCCTACTTGTATGTAATCAAATTTCAAAAACTAAGCTTTAGGGGGGCATTTACCCACATACAGTATTAAATCAGTGTAAGAAACAACAGATATCATGCTAGCTCCATGGAATTTTAAGGGCTTCCAGATATTAGAAATGTATCAGGCTTTGTCTAGACAGGGAAAGAAACACCTGGAGAGAAGAGAAGATGTGTCTAGGCTTCTTCTTCAATTGTGAGTGGCTGGGCTTCTTCCTCTACAAAGCTGCTGAGAGAGATAAGGAAAAGACAAGAGAGACAGAGGCAATGAGGAAGTTGGGAAATGAGAGACAGAGATGAGAAAGGGAGCTGAGATGAGAGAGAGACAAGAGATGAGGGAGCTGAAATAAGAGAGGGAGTTGTGAGTTAAGGTAGAGATAGAGCATAATGATAAGACCCAAAGCTGACACTAGTTTTGAAAATTGTAGAAATAGGTGTGCGGAAACCAAAAATTGGACATATTACACGTCCCCCTCCTTGGAGGGGGACGTGGATTCTATAATCTACATCCCCCAACTAGCTATGGAACATGGATTGTAATGAATCCACGTCCCCTGTGGGAAAGGGGATGTGGATTTGTGAATCCACATCTCCCTCACAGATGGGTCATGTCCCCCTCATAGATGGGGGATATGGATTCTTTTATAGAATCTATGTGGACTGCTATAATAGCCATATGCCCTTAACTTATGGGGGACGTGGATCCTATAACAAATCATGTGAACAACTACAGAAGCCACGTCCCTCCAAACAAGAGAGGGACGTGGCATATTAAAATTTAAAAAAAATAAATTTTTGTTTAATCATGTCCTCTTTTTGCTTGGGTGACATGGATTGTCTTCTTTATAAGTCTTGTTTTCAAAATACGATATGAATTAGGTTAGTAAATTGCCTTTTTGTAGTAGTGATACAACTAATGTATGAGACCTCTACAAGGTTCAATAAGGATCTTACACTCATTACATTGATTCAAACCATACTTCGCAATCCAGTCAACACACATATTACTTTCGCAAAACACATGTCATACCATAATTTACCAATCCTCATTAATGAATTTGACAGCATCATGCATCTACCATTGATGTGAATTATTATCATCTAATGCTATTTGGAACTCATTCACAATAGAGGAGGAGTCACTCTCCACAATGAGTTTAGTCAAATTAAGACTGTGTGCCACCCTTAAGCTATGATAAAAGCTCCAAAATTCAACTTCTTTTGCACATGCCACGATTACATACAAACCCTCGTAACCACTTCCCTTCTATGTCACGAAAGATGCCACCATATTTGGCTGGTCTTAGGTGCCCTTTTATAGTGCCATCAATGTTGAGCTTTATCTAGTCCTTCAGAGGAAGATCCCAATGACCTTAGTCAGATCTTAGGATAGCCAACTTTATTACATTGTTGTTAATGCTTGATAGCACAAATCTAGACAAGTGACAGATTTTTAGAATAAGCCCTACTGTGATGTAGGCGTATTATCTTTATTATTAATCCTCTCATTCCTAGCTTTTCAAATAATTTAAATTGTGAGTGTGAAGAGGGTATCCCAATCAATATTAATATGCTTTTATCCCTTTCTCAGATTCCTTGAAAACCATTCCCTTTATTTTAAGGGGAAAAACTCACCTACTTCACTAGATGGAATGAAAGTATTCCAGACACCTCTTACTGGGGTACAATCTCTAATCACATGAAGCACATCTTCAGCAATGTTATGACAAAGATCGCAATAATTAGGAGCTCCAAAAAATCAAGTTTCTCCTTTGGCCTATATGTCACATCCTAATACTAAGGGCATAATCGGCATAGAATTTGAGGTGAACTCACATCCCATGAGCATTGATTAACTAGAAATTAAGATAAAATAGCAATATATGCAAGTTATATACAATAGTAAAGTTCATAAAGTTTTATAGTTTTTGTAGAAATTTTAGCAGAGTCTCCCCTATAATTTAAACCTCTTGAAATTTTCACAACAACAACAAAACCTGCCAACTAAACCAGCAAGGAGACTAGCTCCATTCTAGTAATTTACATAATAACAAAAAAAGACTAGAAACTACTCATGGTGTACATGGAGCAATAACTTATAATTTACAAAATACAATTACAAGATTTCACTAAAAAAATCGCCATGTTCACTTTAACTTCTTACCTTAATTCTAATGGTGCCATTAATTTCCTAGCAAAAGAAATCACAATTCAAAAATCATTTATCAAGAAATTCTCCAAGCACTCAGTGACATTACATTTGATCCAAACCATATAAAAAATAATACTCTAACCAATTATGTTTCAAGTACACTTGAGTTGGTTACATCATTTGACAAATCTCAATTTATCCTCATACTTTCTTGTAGCCCATTCTCAATCATAAATCATAATAAATTATATCAACCATTGTTATGCTTCCTTTAGACTATAAAATACTATACAAGCCTCCTATACAATCATTTCTTCTATTTTTAGTATTTTAAAATTCCAATCTATAACTCAAGCCAACTTGCATATACTCCTCCAATTTATAACATGAAAGCTTAACAACATTCAATCCACCACATTCTTCTTTCACACATTTTATAATCACCTTCAATGCATCAAAGTTTAGTTCACAATAAATATCTAACAACTTAATCAATTCCCAACATTAACTCTATATTATCATACTCAACTTAATCATCAAAATAAATAATGCATAACATCGACCAATCAACAATTACATGTCCCAAACCAAATATGATGGAATCCAAGAAGGGTAAAGGTAGAATTTTTTTTTTTTTACAAAAGAGAAGAATTCCAGCGCACAACTATCACGCCCATGGCACCCTTAGTTGAAGAGGAAGGAAAGATGAAAAATCAAGCACTCACGTGATGCTAACAGTTAAGGAGGAAGAGTAAACGGAAACTAAACACAGGGATGCTACTGTCAGCCACAAAACAAGAAGAAAATAATAGCAAACCAAAGAGGGAAAGTCTGACAACTTTAACTCTTCTAGCTATAGAAACGTGACAATAAGAGGAGAAGTTAAAGACTACTCACCTCACATTGAAACACAGCAAAAAATGATGATAGGGGAAGAGAATTCCAACGATCCAATCCCCGTCATAGCTGACAAACATGGGTGAAAAAAAGGCGACAGATGAACTAGCAACAGTAAAGAAACACAAGTCAACAGCGAGCAAAAGAACTTGACGAGAAGGGCTAGAGGGGGGACTGATGATTAACAACTAGGGAAGTTCTATGGTGGTGGAAAAAAAGGAAGACTAAAGTGCTCTGTTTCAGCCTCTACCATTTGATTGAAAAGCAAAGGTTCTGAAAAAAAAAATTAAATTGGAAAAATTATAAACAAGACCTAAAGTTTGTGGGGAAAATATCAAAATAATACCCCACCAGATTTTATTATTAATATTATACTATTTTTATAAATTAAAAGCAAGGGTACTTTAGTACTTTCTCAATATAAAGGAAAATAAACTAACATTTAGCTTATGAAGGATTTGAACTCTAAACCTCCATATAAGTAACCAGTAAAATTTTATTAGGCTAATACTTCTCATGTGCTATAAATAGAATAATTAAATAAAATCTCAATAGGGAAGGAAAAATAATTTAATTAATTAATTAAATTTTTTTTAGGTCATTACACCATCATTATCCTCCCATGAATTGCCAACCAAATAAAGGCTTGCACTCTTTTGGGACCTTTCCAGTGCCAAATCAAATCCCAAATTGGATCTAGGTCTTCATTAGGAGCTTTACATAAAAATTCAAACTTGGAAGAGACAGTGAAATTCTTATTGTCCTCATCCCACCCCCACCCAACTTTGCCCTTATCATCATTCTACCTATGAGGATGATGTTCCATAATTAAATTGAAATCACTAATTTCAAGAAAATTAGAGAGTAAAGTTAAGTTCCATTCTCCCTTATCATTCATAACTTCTGAAACCTTCATGTTTGCCATCTCCGTAGGAATTGGCCTAATACAATAGTCAAGCAAGGTATCTATTATTAAGCCACTTGTCTTTCCAAAATTGAACCCTATTACCATTACGAACATCACAATGCCTTCCTGACATTTCAACACACAATCTAACAATTAAAAGTCTTTTAAGAATGGTTGGGATCCCAAGTTAAAATAATTGAAAACTATTTCTACTCAAGTTGTAAAGCAGTACATAGCAGAAGCACTCAAATTATGTGCATAAAAATCTCAAAGAAAACTGATTTCAATCAACACAATTTGGGCAAAATATGAGCCATGCATCATGATATGTGCCACATACCACTAGCATTGGCTCTATGCCATGCGCTACAATATGTTGACACATGCCTTCAACACACACATCAGATTCTACTATCAAAAAAGCAATTTTGATGTAAACTTCGAACGTGTGCTATTTTCACATCCAATGTCCAATTAGGATGATTCAAGTATTCACAAGAAGCTTGTTTCAAAATCTAACAAATGACACTAGTTTCATTTAGGTATCCCGTTTAAAAGTTAGACATCCAAGTGTGTTTTGACCATTTTAAGTCAAAATCTTCCACTTGAGTATCACGTTTGAAACCATAAGTCATTAACCACTTCTAGGGCATTAACCATGTCTAATGGGATAATCTGTACTTGATTAACCAATTATATCAGTGATATCACACATATATCTAAATTTGGCCAATAAATTGCCCATTCACACACATTTGGGCATTACTATATTATTTCACATAATTTCACATGATTGGCCAAACTATCTCATTCATCACATATTCATTCTACTCACATATACATATACTCAACTTCTAGCCCTAAACGTTACAATCATATATACTAGATAGGGCTAGGATTCAAAAGTCATACATACATACATATTCACAAAACTATACACATATACAAGTTCCTATGGCAACTCATATTCACAATCATAGTCTATATCATAAATTCATTACACCAACCCTTTAATGGGCTTTAAAAAGAAATCTCTAATCTCGACCCAAGTCTTTCCCTTTAGCATCACTAGTGTCAAAACTAGTATATAAATAACTATAATGACCTAAAATTTAATTCAAATTAAAATTTATGATAAGGCATTTTAAATGTGTCTTTATTAATTTTGTGACAAATATAACAAGAAAGATGTTGTTGGATTCCCAAAATCAAGTCTTCAAATAACATTAGCATTTATAATCATCAACCATGCAATTTTCCAAAATTCAATTGTCTCACAGTAGCTTCACAATCAAAATTCTTCACAAAACTCAAGTTAAATACATGGATAACTAACACCTAAACCAAATATGTCCTTATAAAAGTTAATGAAATTTCAAGAAGTTCATAACCAAGCAAGACTCATTCTAACTGACATTTTTTCAAACGTCTTAGAGGCACCACTGCTTAAACCATAATAACAAGTTCATTTTTCTTCAAAATCTTTATTTCTAATTCCAACTTCTTTTCAAGCATTTTATCAAACATCTCATATGCATCCATATTCAAACAAATACCTAGCCTCTTTTTCCTTAATACCCTTTCCTGAAAATTCTAAATATCAATATTTAGATTAACATATCTTCCTAAATTTCATTATTTCAACTGAGTAAAAAATAAGCTTAAATAATATTCAAATTCATATTACACCTAGCTCTAAAAATCTGAAAATTCTAGCTTGCCAAAGCCCCTTCTCCTCTGTTTGAACATACACAGTAGCAAAGCAAGAGGAAATCAAAATATCTAAAATTTAAACACGTGCACATAGCAGCAAGACCAACAAGGAGGAGGGAGTTTGAAGCTCTTCACCTTCAATTAGTGGTGGCAGAAGCAAGAAGTCACAGCTAGTCATATAACTATGCAAAAAAGAAAAAGAAAATCCATCATACACCCACACGAAAACTAATTCAAAAGAGGAAGGAGAAGGCCGCACAACTTAACTCTGAACAGAATAATGGAGAAAGCACAGTCACCAACTAAATAAAAGAGGAAGGGAAGAGACCGAGCTCTCTCTCTGTGTGTGTGTGTGTGTGTGTGTGTGTGTGTGTGTGTCTACTTATGTGTGTCACTGAAGAAGAATCAAGAAAGGGGAAAAGAAAGAAATTGATGAAACAAAGGAGGAAGGAACTCGCTTACCTATAGAGGCACACTGATAAAGAAAGAACAAGGAGGACGTTTCCAATCATCCACAGCTTCTAGTATCTCAGCCCCTCATGTACACCAATAATGCAAATACAACAAGGAAAATAAAACAAAGATAAGAAGAATCACGGAGGACCTAGGCATTTTTGCAAGGTAGCGTTGAGCACCCACGATCGCCAATGATAAGGACAGAACAATGGAGAAGGAAAGATGAGGAAATGGAGATGGTAGAGGGGGCATAGTTGTAATTTCATAAGGCTAAAGCTAAGACGAAACTCCTCTTTTAAGTCATTAGGATTCAAACACAAGACCTAACAAGTGCTAAATGAGCTTTAATTCCACTAGTCTAACTCTCCTTTTTGATAATTATGTACCATATATATATATTATTAAGATACCTTACCATAAATTAATACAAATACAATTAAAACACATTATTATATATTTTAATTTTATTTAAAATTCTTGGGTTATTACAAAACCTACCTCTCGCTTTCAAGTTGAACAATCATAGCACAGCGGTCAATTTTGAGAATTATGTGTAATCGGTGTATAAAGGTGTCCCCGCATCATTTCTCAATCTCTCAAGCATTCCTGGACAATCCCGAAGTTCCTCTTCAATAGCATTTGTCATCTCTTCAACACAGTCATCATCGTCTATATTTGTTTTTGAAATCATGTGACACATACATACTGCTATACCCACAGCATCTATCAATTGTATCCCTCGACTCACCATACTTATGCCAACAAGTATAAGTATGATCAATTCTAAAGCACACTAAATGATCTTCCAATTGCTCGCACTAACTCATTTCAAGAAGCCACATTTTACACAAAGGCACACAATGCTATTATGATTTGCCTCATGTTCTAGTACAAATTTAATGAACTTCTTCACCTGATCCACATATTCTTTTATGACTTATTCTTAGACATCCATTTTTTGTCTATGATCTCTCTCAATCTACAAGAATAGTTGAGGAAAATGATATTAGTGACTCAATCATATTGGAAGAGTTAGTTTACTGAATATATTAATTACTAACTCAATCAATCATGAGCCACATGCTTGCATGCACATGTGTGCACACACAATCCATCTCTAAGCAAATTATCCCTCACACACGCACCCCCAATCCCTCTCTAAGCAAATTATCCCTCTCTAAACAAATTAAATTTAAGGTAATGCTTACAATTAGATTAAACTAATTTTAAGTATTTTATCTTATGCGAAAACTTACGAACAAGTAAATTCTTTTATTTAAAATTATAAATAATTTATAACTAACATTTTTATGATTCCTTTAGGCATTGTATTTGAATATATATATATATATATAATCCAAACAACATTAGGGCCCATGTGTTTAAGATTAAATAAATAATTTTTAAGAACTTCAAAAAATTTATAAAAAGTGATTTATTTTGTAGTTATTTAAAAAAATTATAAATTACTTTATGTTGGTAACAATCATAAAAAATCATTCTTTACTTATAATAATAAGTAATATATATATATATATATATTAATATTAACATTAATAAATAAGTCTAATTGTTATGAAAATTATATATCATTAATTTATAAAAGCTACTTTCATTGAAATTTTCCATCCCTATTCAAAACAAATAAAAATTTCTCATATGAAAAAAAATTCCCTTCAATTAAAAAAAAAAGCTTAAACAAAAAGGCCTTAAAATGCCAAACTATTAATTTCAAACTAAAATTCGACGGCATAACGGCATAAATATAGAATTTCACTAGGCATTTTGCCCTTATTTAATCACATTATCATCATCATCAACAAAAACAACAATATAAATGCTATTTAAAGCTAAAAATTACACACAACAATTTTGAGTAAGCTAAAAGTACTCATACACAATTTCAATGACTATGAAACTTCATATACTACCCAACTATCAATCAAAGAATCAAATGATAAAATATTTTTACTCAAACTAATTAAATGTTGCTCAAACAAAAAATACATACAAAATAGACAATAAATTTGGATAAAAATAAAAAATAAATATAACTCTCATCTAATCATATATTATTAGTCTAACATGAATTTTTAAGTTATCCATAACTTAAACTTCATATGGGTTCTGGCCAAAGGTTATTTTTTTCTATGAATCATTTCATCAAACATCTTGCATGCAAAAACAATAACATAAAATCAATATAATATAATCTAACAAATCAAAGCCTAATCAAGAATCAAACATGCCCAATGTAATCCATACAATAATCAAATACAAAAACCAAGTTAAATCGTTTTAGAGAGTAAGAGATTCAGAAAAAATGAGAAGTGAAAACGTAAACACTTATGGAGTAGGGCTCATGAGGAGAGATGACGGTACAAGAAAGGAAGAGCATTGTTGTCGATGGCAGATCAAGAGAAGAGAAGTATGGGAGAGGAAGAGAACACAAGCATTGTCATCGGTGGTAGATCTAAAGTTGGGAGGCGCCATGCAAGAACTGATGATTTGGTTTAGTGAGGCATCGAAACTAATTTAGATTATCGGATAGGGAAGAAGATATAAAGAGTATACTGGACGGTTATATTTTTAACCGTCCAATATACTTGAACATTATTAGATGGTTATTCTATAATCGTCCAATAATATTAAAAAAATAAAAAAAATGTGTAAAAAAGAAACACATATTAGACTGTTTCTTAAAGAACCATCCAATATATTAAATACTTAATAACCCTTCAATAATATTAAAAAAATTTAAAAAATTGTAAAGAAGAAACACATATTAGATAGCCGATTTCTTAAAGAATCATCCAATATGGTGAATTATCGGATGGTTATAATTATAACTGTCTAATAAGGCCTGTCATTTATATTCATTTTTGTAGTAGTGTTGCTTTGCCTATTGAGTGAATGAATTTGGGAAGCTGACTAAATTAAAAATTTAGGTATCTTTGGAAAATGGAAATATGATAAGGAGAAGCTTGGTAATAGTTGAGGTTTTATGCCCACAAGGTGTTTGATAAAATGACTAAGAGGTAGTATTGTTACTTAATGGTTTCCTATATACAAGGATTTTATTGTTGATTAACTAAATCATCATTAGAATAAAATTTCTCTTTAGTAGAAGTTGGATATTTGATGCAATATTTAAGAAATATTGAAGTTAAGATTTATCTATTTTATTCCTTTGAATTAATTTGGATGGTAGATTTTGGGTTGTAAAGTGTGACATGTACATATAAAAATATTGAAGGCATGGATTGATCAAAAGAATAAATTAAGTTGATTTAGGAACTTGGTGACTATGGTGTTGTTATCATTGGAAAGGAGTTTGTTAAGCTTGGGCAAAGGTCACTATATCTTATTATTGTTATTGAATAAGGGATCTAGAGAAAGGAAACCTTAATTGAAGTGGTAAGGAAGAGTTGATTGAAGTCCTAAGAAATGAATTCTAATAGTTGGACACACTATAGGTAAGTGGATAGTGTCCCAACTGATTTATTATTAATTTTTTTCCAAATATTTTTATATAGATCATTTAATAAAAATTATATTATGTATTTAATACTTTATTAATTAAATTATTTTTATCTTGGGCAATTATAAAGAGATGTTGAAGGATATTTGAATTATGACATGTGTATGTCTTTTTTCTTTACGAAGGATACTTTCAAAATAGATGAGATTATTTGTATCAAATCTATTTATTTTTGGGTTACTCAATAATTACCAAACATAGACATTGGTTATGAAATCTTATTTTGGTAAGTTTTTGATGTCAAAACTATTCATTCGAGTTTGACTTTGAGAATTGAAACTATATTTTTATAGTGATGATTTTCTCGCATGATTGAAAATTAATTTGAAGGGGATTTTATATAGGACACTAGTTGCTAACTGCAGTTCCATTAGTCCTTGACATGCCATGATCAATGACTAGCTAGTTTGATTTTTGTAAGCTTTTATTCTCATGTTTGTTATTTATGGGTCTCATACCTGTATTTGTTTCATAACTCAGGTTGCATAGGGTTATTATTACCCTCGTAAACTGTGTTTTCATGTTTACTTCGTAGCTCGAGCTACATTTAATTATTTACTCGTATAGACTGTGTGTTCATTTTTGTAAATTATTCTAATAAATTCCCAAACAATATGAATTTTTAATTAATTGATGATTTCATACTCTATTGGTTTTTATTTAGTAAATGCTATTTTTATTTAATCATTTAATCTATTTGACTCATCAAGATTAACTATTAAAGTTGCTTTGTTATTAAAGATTTAAATTCTTATAATATTGAAATTGTATAGAAATTTATTCCAAGTTTATTAATTTTATTATGTTGAGTTGCTTTCTCTAATTTCCATAACTATTGTAAACTATTCATTTTAGTTTTGCAAATATGGTTGGGACATTATTTACTAAAAAATATTTTTGACCTCAGATACCTTATGCCTCTGTCAAATCATTCAAGGAATTTTGCTAGTAGATTGAAGTTAAGACGTCATTTTGGTTAATTTCTATTTTTTATGTAAAATTTTAATTTATATATTTTACTTTTATAAATGTTATAGGTGCTCCACATAAGCTATATGATTAGGGTCCTTATCTTGTCAAATACTTTGTTTACTAGTTGAAAGGAGTTGAGCTCCTGGTTGTTATAATATTGTTTGAAAACTTGTATTATAGAATTTTGATAGATCCTATTTATAAGGGAGATTTTGCTACAATTTTCACAAAAATATTATAACAACTTGCCATTTTAGGGATATCTTTTTTAGAATAGATATTACCTTTTAAAGCCAGCTATGAGGGAATAATAACAAAATAGCTAGAAAGAAAATAATTTCTGAATGGGTAAAACCTCAAATGATTAAATAAATAAAAATGTTAAAACAATAGTCTATTTTTTGGATAAACTCTATATATAGAAAAAGAAAACAAATAAATTTTCTTAATAAATAAATTCATTATAAGAAAATAGAAGAACAAATAGAAAACTCACAGGTAAAAGGAAGAATAAAAAATTTAAAAGAAAAAAGTGAAAAAGATATTTGTTCTAAACATCCAAAT